AACCATTTCTGTGAATATATATGGAAAGAGAATATTCTTTTTTTTTTGAAAATAGGATAAAATCGAATGCAACGCCTATAAAAATTGTATAAAACTATTCAGGAGACGTTGGTAGTTGTAGGTCTGCCTTGATATAAAATACTCAGACGCACCTTGGAGCTCAAGGTATTCTCCGCCGGTAAGTACTCAATTGGAATGGGACTGCCAGATCTAAGAATGTTAGAAAAACTTCTAACAACATCAAATTGTTAAACCATAAACAACAAATGCTTTAATGACGAAATTTAAACCTTTCGAATGAATATAATACGTTTCAACTCATTTTCTTTATTACCAAATGCAATAATTAGTATACGGTATTAGTGTTTTAAGTAAGCTACGTACGGTACTCTACCAAAGTCTATAAAGAATGTTATACGAAAAAAAAAAACATTTCTCCTACGTTTTGGTTTTGTTTTTAACTTTTACAATAAGGTTATCAACTACAATACGTTTAATGATTCAATTTTAAAATTTACTGCCTAAAAGTATGCTATAATTAAATCTTCATTGTATTAAAGTCAACGTTTTGTTTTAGACGTGTTTTAAAGGTGTGTTTGAGAAACATTTTGTCGTTAAAGATCTAATCAAATTTGCGGTTTATTTATTCAAACTCTCTACATTTAATACAAATTTCAACACAATCTTACACATACCCTGCTCCTATGTAGCCAGATGTGACAATGGCTTCGCCTGGCCCGCGAAACACACACGTTAAATTATAACGTTTGTCACGGCTCGTTTGTACATTATCCGAGAATTGCACAACCACAATATTGGTAAGCGTGTCGCCGTACTATCAAATAAAAGCACAATCGGGAAAGATCGTTAAGCTTAATAAGAACGTACATACTTTTTGTGTACCGCAATCTGGATAACCCTGAGGACCACTTATACGTAAAACATTTATTGTACCACCATTGCCACGGAAGAAACATCTTAGTTTTATCAAAAAAAAAATGCATCACTTTCTGAGAGCAAATTTATAAAATACAATAGTTACCTATCATAGTAACCGTATGTATATATACGGCCCACAAAACCCTCCGGAGTGCGAATAGTGAATTCCATGCCCTCCTCGTTGCATGTTTGGGTCACTGAGTTATTTGTTTTTATTAATTCGAAAACATACTATTTGCATATTCTTACCGTCCATGCATTCGCCATCACTACGTGCTATGCTACGTTCGTAAAAATCATAATTGGCTGCATCAAATAAGCTGGGATCGTGAACATCTAAATCACGCGAATCACGATCGCTTAATTCACAATTAGGTAATCCTCGGTCATCGTAGTTGGAAACTGCTGTGTCCCTATCGTATAAAATAATGTTTTACACGTCTGTTCTGTTAAAACCCAAAGCACTAAGTGCAAACCTGTAGTTAAAACTGCGGCAAATAAATTCCCGACTCTCTACACATTCTCTTTCACATTGTATCAGAGAAGGAACTACAAGAGCTCTGCGTATGAAGTGTCGTCGCATTTTGTGGCGAGCAGCTACTTGTTTAAAATTATCGCTTTCTTCACATCTAGTTATGGGTGGACGTGGTATGCTGCCCGACGGAGGCCCATTGTAAGACGGAGGACGGGGAGCTGGTAAAGCTCCCGGTATAGGGTGATCATTAGGCAAGGGCGTCAAGGAACCGCTACCGCCGTGGTAAGGACGATTGAAAGGATTTTCATAGGGTGGGTAACCTAATCCAGAAGGACCAGGTCTGCGACCCAACGATCTGTCATAATCACAATCGTACGGGCTGTAGCGATCGTTATAACGTAGTAGTTCTTCGTAGTCCATATCATAAAAGGCAGGAGGAGGTGGAGGTCGCGGTCGGTAACCTAAATCAAGTAACATGTTCTCATAATTATCTACTTGATGAGGCGAATGTAATTTTGTAGTCTTGTTACTGAAACGAAGTTAAATAAAAATTATCCTACCTGGTCCAGCTGCTCCTGAATTGGGATTACTAAAACGGTTACCATATTTGTATATGTCTGCAGGAAAACGGTCAGTACCTACCGGAAAACGATTAGGTGTCGCTGGTGGGGGCATTAAAGGAGCTGACGGATAACGCCTATTGGAGTCAGGTTCAAGTCGGCGAGCATTGTGCAGAATTTCTTCAGGAGGATATCTGCCGTCAGATCCATAACGAGGAGGCGGAATGTTATCACGGGAACCTTCAGTAACAAGCGGATAGCGTGAGTCATACGAGGAGGGGCGAAAACGTCGATCGGGAAAAATGCCGTCAGGTGCATCATGTCCTGTATAAGCATTTAGAGGATCACGAGGTGGTGGATAACGCGATGGATATCGAATAGCGAACCGATCGTCGGGATAACGATTTCCAATAAGGTACGGGCGATATGGTAATCGTCGTCAGGTGGATGGGGTCTGGAATGAGTTATATCACCAGGCAATTTGTTATCGTTAAGCGGCGAATAATGCCCATTATTAGGACGATACGGTGAGTAACGGTCTCGTAATGGGTAACGACTCGTAGTAGGATAACGATAATCATAATTAGATGTTGGATAACGTTCTATGTAAGGATTTCTTGGTGGCATGCGGTCGTCGTAAGGACGACGGTTAGAGCCATTGTCAGGATAGCGATCTGCTTGAGGATAATGGTCCATATCTTTGAATGAAAAATTTAGATAACTGTGTGGAAATGAGGAAAAAGTTTAATGGCCAGAAGGACGGGCAGACATAATTACATCTTAATGGATAATTTTTGCCCACAGCTAGGGTGAAGACATTCCCTAATGAGGAGGAATTTATCTGACTATGTGGAAATGAGAGAACAGTTTAATAGACAAAAGGAGGGACAGACATAATTAAATTTCTATGCAGAGTGTTTGCCTATAGACAGTGTTAAGGTATTCCCTAATGAGAGAGATAAAATAAATTTCTCCCCTAGAATATTAGAATTTTAGCTTTAACTCGTATCACCAAAGAAAAAGGAAAAAAAAAAATTTTGACAACAGAAGCTCATACAGTCTTAATCTGTGATTAAAGCCTGAACAGTGTAATGTATAGTATCAAGACAAACTGCCTTTACATGAAATTCTTCAAAGAGAAAAAAAAATATTTTTTTTAAAATAATTTTAAAAGCAAAAAAAAAAAAAAATACCAAAAAATAGTTCGTAATTATGAGCATAATTCTAAGCACAATTTTTGTCTTACATGCGTTTTATTAAGACTAACAATTATTTTTATGGCAACCGCAATTATAATATATTTGATATAATAATTTTTTAATAAATTTTTTCCTTCTTAATGTATCTTCATTTAGCAATTTGTTCTTTCTTTTTGCTTTTTGCTTTTTCTTGCTTACTAGAGGGGAGTGAACTGTGTGTATGTGACTGTGCAACGAGTACGTGTAATATTCACGATTTCCTCATTTAACTAAACGTTCATAATCGTACAATTATATATACTACTCCCTAATTTATTTAATACCTCAACCGAAAATTATGTATGTCTCTGATTTAAAGTAAACTGAGTGAATTGCTGCATGCATTTCGTTATGATGACCTTGAATTTTTACAAAATATTTAAATCTCGAAAATGCGAAGCCACAATAGGAGAGTATATTCGATTCTCTTCTTATTTGTAACGTTCATAAAGGGCATCTTCTTAAATTACGTAAGGCTTGATCAGAATGAATTTAGTCATAGGAAGTTCGACTTTTTATCGGTCTAAAGTATTGCTTTTTGATTCGCTTACGTTTTTTCCGGCTTTATCAGATTGGCAATCTTCGGAATGTTGGTCTAGGTCTAGCCAATATCCAATCAGCAGACATTACTTTTCGAAAGCTAACCACGAGACGTCTTGCAATTGGCATCCTAGAAAATAGTTCAAAGTACCACTTATCTAGTAGTACCCTACATTGCACTTAGTAGGAATATGCACTATTCCACTTGCTTAGGATATACGCCAGAACCGTCCAATGCTTGTATTCTATGAAAATATACATCGGAGGAAAGTAGAGTGTACAATTTCTGAGCAACAAATGCAGTGGAATCAATTGAGACGCATTTGTCTATCTCTTTCTGTCGAAATAACTATTAATATTAAAGCGTCGAAACTTTGTCCATACAGACACCTGATTACCATCTGCAGTTGAGGTTCAATACTTTTTCGTGGTTTTTCAAATTTAAAGGACATATTGGATGTGTTAAAAATTTGCAACCTATTAAAAGCTACTGGAAACCATAAGAGGCAGAAAATGGTTTTGATCTGTCCACTTTTTCGACCACGTGCATTTTGAACCGTTCTCTTACGGAAAAAATGAAACATCGAAAATTTTTTCCAACGGTCGGTCTTCGTTATTTTTTTTTCGCTTTTTAATAAATTTTTTTCCATTTTTTTTTTAAATTCTCATTGCATCCAATCATTCATGTTCATATAATTTAATGTAGAAAATTTGAAATTTAATTAACTGACTTTCTTTCTTAAGTTTCAAATTTCATTCACATTTTCTTTCTCTTCATTTGTACTAAAAGACATGATCGCTAAAAACTCAATGTTCTCAAGCAGAGTTATGTAAGTAACACATTGTTACGTATTATCGAAAATGGTTCTGACACAGCGAGCGTGCGTGCGTGCAGCGAAGGCACAAAATGCATTTAAATGATCGTTTCATAGCGGAAATAATGCAAAATTATTTGAAAGCTTTCCGAGTTCAGAGCTGAACCGAAGACGACGTGATTATTTATTTGGTGTTTAATGTTTAAGTGAAAAATTAAAAAAGAATTACAAAAGTTCAAATATTAAATTAATTTAATAGAGAAACGTTTTAAGTTTAAATTTTCTAATAATGTTTAAATTCTTCGTTCAGCTGCTATTCATGCTAATTATTTCTAATTTGTCTAACGGCCGCTATATAGAAGAAAGCAATGACTATCCCTTATCACTACCGCCTCAACTGCCCCACACTCAGGGTGCGATGGCTAACAGTTATTACAATTATCCCTATAGTGTAGCGGCGCGACCCTACTACTATCCTCATCATCATCAAGTACGAGATTATCGATCAATTTAGTTGTTTTTTTTTTTTTTCTTTTTTAATTTTCGTTTTCATTCACCTTTCGTTGTTAGGTTAGTTTGTATTCACCACCTGGTTCGTATTTCGATCAAAGGCGAAGTGTATTTCGGCCTTTTCCCGGCGGCGGTTCACCTATTCTAATAGATTACGTAAGTAATCGCTAAGAATTTTCAAATACCAAGAAAAAGAAAAGAAATCATCCTTATCCGTATCCTTATCATTCACTAATTAGCATAACCGTTGTTCCGATAATTATTTGGGGTTAAAGCCGCATCCAACGCAACAACAATATTATTACCTATGTAAACCGGATTGTGTGATTTTTGGAAAATGCCAAAATCTACAGGTATTTATGACATTATAATAACGAATAAGTAAATCGTGTAATATTTTTCTCTTAAAGACCTTCAACTATGCCAGCAGCCAATGCGTACAGTCTATGCCAGATTACATGACGAATTGCTCATCAATGGGCATTTTTCCCATCTATTCTGATTGTCATTTGTACTATAAGTGCAATCAACAGTTGCAGGCGCATATTTATTCATGTCCTAGGAAGACGATCTTCTCGCCACATTCAAAACAATGCATAGCCGGTAACAGCTGCTCACCCACTCAAATATCTGAAAATGGTTCACTCTTCTTGCAAGAGAATTGTGAAAAGAAATTCCCATCTTGCGTGCAAAATGGTTTATTTAGGTCTCCCTCAGATTGCTCCTTGTATTACAAATGCGAAACGCAAAATAATGGAATATTTTTACAAACGCGATTCAAGTATTGAAACTTTCGATTTTGTATGAATTTTAATCAGTTTAATTAACATTTGATTATCATTCCTAGATGTCCATCCGATATGTTCTACGATTTGCAGAGATATCAATGTGAGGTTAAGGAGAAAGTCGCCTGCGATTGTATGCCTGCGGTAGATTTGGTTTATCCGAAACTTAATTACTATCAGTTGCCCATAATGATGAAATTCCCTGAAGATATTTTAGAAGAAAATCCTTATCCTACCGAAAATGTACACAACAATTGTTCGAAGCCAGAAGACAAAAGTATAGTAAATCGATAAAGTTATTATTAGAAAGATGTTTTATTCGATTTCAATCTTTCATCTATAAGTCACTGAAGGTTCCGGCAATGAAGACTTAATGACTGCGACCACAACGGCAGAAAGCATCCCCTCTATCACCTCAACCGATTTGATGACTGTAGCCGATACGGAAACTCAAGGTCATGAAACCTACTTCGCAACGACAACTGAGATATCAATCTCAGATGATTTCTTAAAATCTTTCCAAGTTATTGAGTCTAACAGTGAAGAGCCCGACAGTAGAGAGGAATTTCTTGATTTCAATAAAAATGCTGATGTTTTCTCTAAAGAAACATTTTTCAAGGATCGTAACACCGAGACTACTACGGACTTCACCACTGATTTACCAGATGAAAGTAGCACCACAACAGGTGATTTTCTTTTGATATAAATAATATTTTTTACAAATTGTTTACTTTTCAAGAAGCGAACGTAGAAGAAGATATTTCAACACAAACAGCTTTATTAAGCACTGAAACAGATGATTTTTCCATCGGTTCGTTGGCCTTGACAAAAGAGATGGTAATAACAACCCGTGAGCCGCAGCTAAGCTTGCAAGAACATACTAAAGAAGAAATCGTTGAGAATAGGATGATAGGAAATCGTACGGAACAACCGCTTATTGAAATATTCACAACAACCAACGAGGGAGTAAAGGATTTGGAAGCCGAAGAGCTATTGAGTGAAACAACGAATATCGATAATCCAGGTATTATTAAATAGTTTCGATTAGTTTTCTACAACATGTGAAAAAAAATCAAACAGAGATTTAGATTATCTCGAGTGCAATGTGTAACAAACAGATTTTAATATTCCAGATAATACGGATAGAAAAACTGATTTAACCCAACAACACATCTCTACCACTATTACTAAAACAAATCAATTACAAATTAAAACATTAATACGAGAATCTACATCCAACATTAAACACAAGCACCAAAATCTCTTAAAAACCGCAACAACATCCACTTTAAGTTCTACAGTAAGTCCAAATAATTTTCACGCTATTGATTACGATAGTATTGAAGATGAAAAGGCCGTTTTGGACGATGAGGTCATAATAAAAGATTTATCGGCATTTATTAAACGACAATCCAACCGAGACTTAATATCGGAAGAAGAAGGATCTGGTGAAGAAGAAAAGGAGAAATTGGAAGCTTTCGAATTGCCAAATGAAAATTTGAATGATATCTCGACCGAAAGCGACGTAAAAGAGCTAAAAAATGTACAAGCCCAACAAAAACTTGCAGTTGAGAACACTACTACCGAAAACGGAGATTTATTTTTAAGTGATAGAAGAATGATTGGTCGTGAAGAATTTGGTGTTTCTCGTAAGCCATTCAAGGAATTTTCTGCGGAAAGATTTTCAAATGAAGAAATCACCGAAAATGTTGAAAATACACTGACCTCATCTTTTAAATCTTTACAAAACAGGGACGGTACAGAAAAGAGCGATTTTCTAAGCACAGTTGACTCTTTAAGAGATGATTATATTGAAATTGAAAATCTGACACCTCCCGCTGAGAGCAATCTTAGCGTAACCAAATCGAATCGTAATCAGTTTAAAAACAATTTAAAATCAAAAGTGGTAGGTCTTCAATATGATTTATCTGCAACCAGTACATCACCACGGCCCAATTATTATAACATCTGTAGATCATGAGTAATGAAAAAAAATTTGAGCCAGAAATTGTTTTTATTTTTGGCAATAGAGGTAGCCTCAGATTATGTTTTACTGTGGTCTTGTCCTTCGGTCGATTGATTCCACTTTCAATATCAACCGGCGTGCCAGATCTTATAATGTTTCAGCCGAATTTGAAGTCTAAGGCTTTTATTTTTGCGACCACAAGGAGCAGACAGTACACAGACTGAAGGACAAACTAAATCGGTTTAGAATTTACTCCTGGTCAAGAATAAATTTATACTTCATTGCACGCTCAGTGGAATAGTAAAATATATTCTCATCATTGATAAATTACTCAGTGTCCAGTTCGTAAACTAAAATCGCCATTATCGCACCTAACTAAACGCAGTGAATCGCAAGACTTCTTGGACGTAAAGCCAGCTCAAACTCTCAAAAAACTTTATAAATAGCTTAGCAATTGCCGAATAAAATATTTCTTAACAGACACATGCAGTGGGGAAAACCAAATGAAGGGAATATGGTTGCCGCACGAATTGTCTTTTCGAATCATTTTTTGTGCCGTATTGCGATTAGCAATGAAAAGAGTTTCTACTACGAGAATTCAAGAGGAAAGAGCGATGGTTTAATCCAGGGCAACATTGCATAGCGACACCGAAGCGGAATTTTCTTGGCCATAAAACAATGCTGTGTATATGGTGCGACCAGCAAGGTTGTGTAGTGTAGTATGAGCTGCTAAAACCGAATGAATCTGGTACTGCAGATGTTCATCGACGCCATGGGAACGATGCATTCTTGCAAAACAGACCAGCAATACCGGCTGACAGCCGCAAATTTATTATTTTTATTCATCAATTGTAACAATAATAATTAAATTATTAACTACGATTAACTACGATTAAAATAGATTTATCGGACCAGTAAGACCATAACGTTTCTTTTGGACACAAATAATTAACAAAAAATACTGGATAGGATAACTTGAACAATGTTCAGCTCAAAACAAATTAAAGATGATTACATAATTACTCATTACACGAAGGATTATAAAGTTTTCTGATTTCTACTCTTCACCTATATGCAGTAACAACGTGAACAGATATTAGGCGGGAATGAGTTTATTAACTTTACAGCGTTGATAAGAAATAGTCTTGATGGTCTTGAATACTTATGGGCTGGAAGAATTAAATTCATCGTACGTCTGGCAAACTGAGCTTTCGGACGGAGTTTGTTTGTTTGTTTTTTTCGCATTTAAAATCTTATTGATAATCTATCTGACACACTAATCGACAGCCAAGCGCAGCTTAACGCAATCAAGGCGCATATGTTGCCTCCCTACGATATAAATTCCATAACAAGACATTTAATTATTCTCAGTTTAGTTTGAGTTGGCACGTGAGGGGAGGATAAACACAGTTTCCTCAGAGTATAACGTAGCCGCACAGTCTAAAATCAATATCTTCTTCACTTCTAGACCAGGCCAATCACTGCATCACCCATTCTAATATCAATCAAGCGAGTCGGAATCACGATAGCCTTCGTTTCATCTCAATTAAGCTTTAAATTATGGAGAATGGACCAATGCGAGATATGACACAGATTACCGTTAATTTGTTGAGTCAGATTCTCCACAAGACCCAGTGAAGGGGTATAGGAGGAGTATAGTTGAGCATCGTCTGCGTAAAAAGGAATATTATAATCTTGACAACAAGTAACTAGTTTATTAATGAAGATAATGAACGGAATGGGCCCTATTATATCAATTTCCTTTAAGAGTTAAAACTACCTCCATATGTAAACGTTTGCTAAACGTCTTTTTTATTTATATTATCAATAGAATAAGTAGAACAATGGGGTACAGCAGAGTTAGCGCCATCGGACCAAAGCCAAACTAAGAACTTAGCTTTTTTAAGAGTAAATCATGATCGTCTCGCGTGACAACGATCGGGCGCACGCTGGAAGGTTTGTCATTGATACACTGTTGCGCCCCGAATGGGAAGTTCTCAACCATTCAGCCGATCAAAATATATGGAAGCGCTTAACGTATAGAAAGCAGATTGGATTCGGATCATCTTTGTGATTTTTTGCTATAATACTAAGGATTTAAAACACATTTTAAACAATTAGAGCTGGAGAGATAATTGTATTCTTAAGCCTGTCGAGGTGTACTAAGCTAAACTACGAGAACAAATAATAAAAACTGTTTTTGTTAAACTTCGTGATGAGAGAATAGCTGAGTACTGCGCTATAGGCCTGACAAGCTTGGCTGACGAACGATAGAACGATCCTTACGATCGATGAAAACCCTTGACTTATGAATTACAAAAGATTTTGACCTCAGAGGGAACTTAGCAAGATCATAGTTTTTGTTACATATGAACCACGTCAGTTCATATTTTACACTCTCGTATAAGGGCTTTTTCGGAAGACATGCCGCTACATAGAATGAAAAGTGTCTCATCAAGAAAATAAATTAAGTTTTGTATTAAGTGAAATGGTGTAAAGTATTTAAGCGTTCGGCCTCTACTTGATCGAAGATATACATCTAAATTGCATAACACCTAAGGTGTAAGGTATCGGCCTAGACCGACCATAATTTTCTTACTTTTTTTAAACTAGACATTGTGTTACTTTTGACGGATTTCGTCTTCGTGTATCCTTTTAGCTAGCCTACCTTTCAATATCGCCTAAAGGACTTTGATTTCTGCAGCTGGCTGCTGGTCAAAACCCGATAGCTGATGTCTCTTTATGTTTTGTAGCTGTAGCTCTTTAAAGCGCAGAAATAGTTTTATAGGTCACGTCGTTTTTATACCACCTGCAGTTTTAATTTACCTCAGTATTTCTCACGACTACGCTCAAGTGCATGCGCGTAGAACTTATCTTATGTGAAGTACTTAAAAAACATTTTAAATATTATTTCTACATGTCTGTAGCTAAGTTAGTTTCTTGGAATCACTAAGATTATTACGAATAATTCAAAAATATGGAAGTGTCTTATGAGCTGTAAAAGCAAACATAAGTCACTGCCAATCAATTTTAAAAGTTGGAGAAGCTCATTTTTCAAACATAAACAGAAAGTAGTTGTTTATAATGAAAAAAATCCCCGAGCATAGATTTCTGTAAGTTCGCTGTCATAAAGTTTTAGTTTATACATGTTCTTCAGTACCAAAATGCGGTCGATATTTTCATTTCTTATAAGCTTTTATAAACAAAACAACAACAAAAATAATTTGATATGGCCTCCAATTTTTAATATAAAGAGATATAACAAAGATAAGTTTTTTCTCAGTTTATCTGCCATTATTCCGAACAAATTTATTACGTTCGCAACGAAGATTGATTCTTTAACGCCTTTAAAATGTTGATGATGTATGGAAGCTAACCGTTAAGCAATTTATAGTATACAACTTGTTTTTTCTTTTTTATCGTCATCATTTTCGTTGCTCTTACATTTTGCGTTTTCTTCGCTATTTCTTAAAAATGTCATGTTTTAAGCCCTTGCCGATAGTGGAGAATGTAAAATACGAATCTTATATCTCTCAGCATCTTATAGTAGTGTCAATGAACGAATTTCGCCTGGTCGTTTAATACCTAGATTAATCTCGGAGGTTAATTTTGCGTCTCGCTTTGCCGCTGATACTTCTGTTAACGAAAAGAATTATTATCTATCTTCTAAATAGACAGAAATAAATACGGTAAATGATAACATCATTCTTCTCCGTATGCTTTACCGTTTCAATAATCATATCCTACGCTACTTGTGGTGCACGGTATGTTAAGTTTGTGCAGGCGTGTGTAACATCGAAAAGCCCTCAAGATAGAACCACATTTTGTCATGCCAATCACCTTCTGAATCCGTCTCTCCGTCTGTCCGCCTGCTGTCTGTCTACGTATTCTTGTATTTAACCAACATGTCGCAATTTTTGAGATGTTTTGATGAATTAAAATAGTTCGAACTATTTATCGACCACTCTCCAAATAATACCTTATTTTGGTAAGTTGTACAAAAACGTATTGTAACATTAAGAATTTCGCGACAAAAATCGCTTGGTATTATAAATTATAAAGTAGTAATAGTAGTTCGGCATTCTAAATCGGCGTGAAATCTTTGAATGGGATGGAGTAATTTTTTTGAGCCTGCGGAAACTGAATCTTTACAGGGTAACAATTTTGATAATTCTTGATGAAAATTCGTTCGCAACAGTAATTTGACACACAAATTAACATTACGGAACTGAGACCACGGAGATCTATTTTTGGGTTCTCACCGTATATTACTCGGTTCAACGAAAAGCAACCTTTTGTATGCCAAAAATGTACAATTTTTGATATTTTATAATAAACATTGGTTCATAGATGTAATTTAACTTAAAAGTTAACTGTATCAAATTCGGATCAAATAAGTCTATGCATCATTATTATGAAGTACTGAACCCTGATATGCCAAAGTTTTATTTTTAACATTAACTAATTCGTAGTTTTTATGACAAGCAAAAAACAACTGGAAAAAAATAAGATCTATAGCGACTAAAGGTAGTATTGCTAAATTTAGACCAACGTTTTTCCAATATAAGAGTTTTGTGAAAGGTATGCGTTTACGTAAAAATAACATATAATTTTGGGTTTATTATCACGGAAATGAGTGAATGGCTACATTAGACGAAGAGGTGTAGGGTATTTTATCCATCTTTGCCATCTTAGCCGTCTTTGATAGCGCTTTTACGTACAAAACTAATTGTCAAGAAAATAAAATATCTACTAGCCTTTACAAGTCCATGGTCGAAGAAATTCAACGGCCCTTCTATAAAGAAGACATTATTCATGAGTCTGGTCTATGATTTGTGCTTGAATATGCTTCAATGCTTAGGTCATCAAACCTGTTCGGTAAGTAATCTTGGTATTCTGTGCGCCCTTTAGCAGCTTATGAGCATTGGCTTAGGCTTATTGGCTTTGACTGATGATGTAATTGATACATCAGTTTCATTAAAAATCATAGAAAAATATTGTTTTGTCATGTTGAATTGATCTGAAAAATTTGAGCAGGCCGTGGAAGCATTCTTCTGTAGTTCTGAAAAACCAACATCGGTATCAATTACTGGAGGATGTATGATCTCTGCTTATTTCAATTTAACTTCCGTCTTCTTGATCTTTTACTTTTTAATAATACGAATTTATTAATACTTCACACTACCCTGTTTGTATTACTTGCGTGTTCATATCATCCTAGTATGTCTCTCTCTTTGGACGTGTCGATTGTGATGAATAACTGCAGACGTTCTCCTGAGCCAAGAAATGGACTTTATCTTATCCGTAAAACTGTTTACGAAAGCCCAACGCTTTGACCTGGGCTCTCTACACAGGGCTCTGCATTTTGCAATCTCCTTAAATGTACCCTTTAAAAGCATATCTGACATGAATGAGGGTCTCGCCTGGTTTAACGATGTATTGAAGGCAATCAGCAAGAGTAGGAGTAGCCTTTCTAGACGGTATACAAGAAGGTGCCTGTCGACTAGGTACGTTACAAATTTAATGCATTAGAGACGAAGTGGTATGATACCTCAAATCACATTAAATGAGGAATAATGTGATGGTCGAGCCGAAAGAGTTTTACAAATTTATAAATTCTAAAAGCAAAGTTACAGATTCTGAGCCTTTTCGATGGTTTCAATTTGTCAGCAGAATTGAATTTATCAGGTTTCTTCTGTGCTGTTTACTTTAATTGCAAACGTTTTGTCCGCCCTTTGAATAAATTTGTAAGGTTTAGTAAAAGGCTATTTTAGAAGCTTCAATACGGAATCGTTCCTTAGAAACACTTAAGAACATCTTTTCTTAATTTAAGGAACATACCAACGTACATTTCCGTGTCGAGTTACTTTGCAAGCTTGCATGTTTTGCATATTCTTACAAAATGTTTCAACCCAGCCAATAAGGTCAATGCTTATTTATTTAAATTATTCTGTACAGATCTCTACGTTTTTATATATATTCCAATTTTTGATTTTTAGGAGGATATGCAAAATTTAACCGATGTTGTTATCACTGCTTTTATCGTTAGCCGCACGAACAACTCACTAATCACTTCAGTGAAAAATTATGACCAAGGACAAGTTATGCATAAAATCGAATATTTCTTCTGTGGATCAGATATGGACGCGTAATAGGTATAGAACAATCACAAAGCAGTTGTAAACGTGAATGTAATAATTTAATTTGCTTTGAAACAAGAGTGGATGCGCGATGAGAATTGAAATACATTTTTCAACTCTTCATCGGATTCTTGAGCCAATGATACTTGCATTTGAAGTAGTCTGAATTCGCGACAGAAAATTAGCTGTTACATTATTTTTTATTTATTTCATTTATTTGTGGTGCAATTGACCTAGTTGCTTTATTGAAGTTTGTCCAACTTTTGGCAGAAAGCTAACATAAGAGGTTTGTGATCTGTACAGATAGTAAATATGCGACCTTCCATGAAGTACTGGAAATGTTTAAGATCAGAATGTAATGCTTCTAGTTCCCGCTAGTAAACGCTACAAAGGCATCGTCTTTCCGTAAAATAAAAAACTAAGCGATACCCAACAATTGTTAACGTGTAGTTGTAAAATCGCTCCCATACCAAAATCTGAAACGTCAACCCAAAGTGATAGAGGCTCTCCTTCGATGAGATAAGTTAGATGTGAAGCGTCGGTAAACAA